TCCTTACGTCTCTCAACGGTGGGCAAAGATCGAATTAATGTTCTACTAGAACACGGGCGGATACATTCCACTCTCCAACTTACTTCCTGTAGGCGCAGCCAATAGCTCGTCTAACTTTGATCTTACTAAATTTTCTCTAAAACTGACTTCACCATCATGTCTGCGGAGGTCGAGAGTCCCAAAATAATCTCCTTCCACGCTTAATGCCTTCGAAAATCGAGTGAACTCATTGCTTTTTCATTCCTACCATAGCTCGCTTTCGCTATCGTTCAGCGCACTCACTTTTTCTACTAACACTTCTTTTACTAACTATTCTTCTGATCTGACCTCATATTTGAGGTCACCCGCCCTGAAAATGTCAGTCTCGACTGTTCACTCCACCGTTCTCGTTAGGAGACAGGCAAGATCTATATTTCTCTCCTCCCTTCTCTTCGACAATCTGCCATAGCCACCGCGCGATCGACCTTCTCCCCTATCTCCTAACTCACTAACTCTCTCGCTAATCTGACTTCACGATCGAATTCGCCCGCTCCCAAAGCCCCTACCTATAATTTTTCCGCGCTCGATTCAGTTAAAAGTCGGCCGGGCTATTGACTTTTTCTTCTTCGTCCGTCACGCTACCCCATATCCTCACCGAATGCACCTGGCACAAAAAGCGTCCAGGTTCATTCGTCTTTCCCTCCTCGCTGGCTGCTGCTCATCGCTCCCTGCATCGCTCAACGCTATCTGCTTGCCGGCCGCTGTCTGCCCATCATGCTTGTCTGGCTTCCTCTACCCCGTAACTCTGCTGCCCGTCGTTCCCTGCTGGCGCTCCGCTGCTGCCCACTTCTGCCTCTGTTGGCCTCAGCCTCCTCGCTCCGACACTGCGCAGAACACCACGGTATCGCCCCGGCCCGTCTTTCGACTGCGTGGTCCGACAAGAAATGTTACAACGGGCGGTTGTCGGACCCCCGTCGGTTTATACTATCGGTTTTGACGGATGCCCCGAAGGACTTACCGGGGGAATTCCCGCGACCTCTTGGGGCTCGAACGGCCCTAGGCCGTCCAGGGTACCCCGCCCCCTTTTTCTTTGAACTAGGCTGTCGGGCCGACCATCGGTCCCAACCCCGATACCGGGATTTTGGCAACGAGGAGCGCAAAGCAATATTGGAAGTCAAAACCACTCCACAGTAAAGTGGAAAAAATCGGCAGGGTCGGGCACGGGGCGTGCCGGCGTCCCTCGGTTCTTCAAGCGGGCCCGCGGTCAGGCTTCTCCCAGAACAAAAAGGGAGATAGCCCCGCATGCCCTCAATCCCTCAGGTTCCGCTCCACGCTACTCCGCTGCCACTGCGTCGACGCTCTTCGGTCTCGATCCCCGAACCTTCATAGTGTCAGTCCAATGCCGTAACCTATAGGGCTAAACCCAAGCCTGAGACCAGCGCCCGCAGAGTACCATACAAACCGGTGCGGCGCGGCGCTTTGGACCAACAAAACCGGTTGCGCGGCTCCTAGTGCCCGCGCCGGCTTGCGTATACCATGCCATAATTGCCCCGCACGCCATCCTAGTACATCCTTCTCATCGCACGAAGTCGCGCCGTTATTGCCGATGCCGTCTTCGGGTCGTTTCTCCGCACGCGCGCTCGACTCGGTCAATATGTACTAATCAAACAAAAATATCCTTAATTCCTGCTTAATCAAAAATAAATAAATAATAATATCACTAAGCAAAACGACCGAGGTCCGGGCCGGCTTTACGATCAACAACAGAAAAGAATCACACGGGCCTTAAACCTGCGCGCCCACGCACTCGCTATTGTGGTCAACCACCTAGTCAATGTAATTACAGACGCAGCCGCGCTTAGCGCGGTATACTTAAACTTTAAACCAAACAATTTTTTGTTACTTGCAAAACCCCAGGGCGGATACCCTTGTAAGGGTATTCGCACCGACAACGTCCGTTATCGATTGGAAGGGGACTGGCCACTCTAGGATCTTGTCCATCTTCTTCCCATCTGGCCTCCGCCCCTTTTCGTTGCAAACAAAGCTCAGAATCGTGGTCTCCTTCATGCAATGCTTCGACTTGGGGCTGCTGGCCGTCAGGTTGTGCTCCTCCAGCAGACCCAGAACTTGATCGATATCCTGGACGTGCTTCCAGACAAACCGCCTCACTCCCGGCATCACTTCGTTCTCCTCCTTCTCTTTTGGACCCTTGATCGCCAAGTCGTCAATGTAGGGCTGAGTGATATGTGGACTAACTGTCTGCATGGCCCTAATCATATGCCTTTGCACCATTGCCACCGCATTAGTCCACCCCTGAGGTGCCACATTCATGTGGATCAGCCCCCTTGGCGTATGTATCGCCGCCACTGGCCTATCCGGTGGGTATACAGGAAACTGGTCATACCCAGAATAAAGGTCTATAAGTGAGATTATAGGCCTCCCTGCGCATGATTCCGATAGGGCATCCACGTTTGGCAACCCTCTCGCTTCCCGCACCGTCACTGCATTTAACCGTTGCAGATCCTTCACCCACCGCAGCGTTCCGTTCGGCTTGATAAAACAAAACTAGGGGGAAGCGTACGGCCCACTGGAGTAATCCACCATATACGTCCTCATCTTCCCATCCAGGTAATCCACCACCTTTTTCTCCTCATTCGGATTCGGGTACCGCGCGCCCCTTAGGTTCCACGGCTCGTGTGGGACGGTATGGATTCGTATCATTGGGATCTTATCCACGTCCAACCTCCCACGCTCGTCGTCATTAAACGCATACGCGTCATGCCTCCTCTTCATGGTTTCTACCATCAAGGTCCTTTCCTGGGGCGAAAGGAAGCCAGGCTCGCCGATTATCAGCCCTTCCTCATTCTCATTATTAATGCGGCACGGTCCTGCCTGCGCGCGCTCCCGCATACGCCTTATCAGCCCTCGCTCCCGCTCATAATAGGCTTCCTCGTCCTCCGTGACAAGCACGGGGACCGGGCGACACTTCTTGTCTATAGTCTTGTACCGCCTTTGGGAACCCTGCTTAAGCCCTCCCCTAAAAAAGGCCGACTTGTCATTCGGGCCTGGGCCATCGCAGGGTCTCCTTTCCTCCCGCGAAGCCGATAGATAAGTTCCACTTCTCCCACCTGAGAGTTTTCCAGAAACTGCTCCCTCAATGCCTTGATAGCCTCAGGATCCGCCATATCATGCGCCGCCACCACCTCCATTGCCTTATTCACATCGTTAAGGCTCAGCTATAATACCTCGCCTACTCCTTCCTCCTCCTCCTCCCGGAGTCTCCGTCGCGTGTATTCAGACTCCTCGAAGGTAAAGGAGCCGAGGTTGAGCCTGTTCCTCCCGCTTCCGGGTCCTGTGTTCCGGCACTTAATGATTTCATTGTTTCCACAGGCCGGATCAGACAAAGCCAGAATCATCGTCCTTTCATGCCTGTTGAAGACCAAGGTTTTCGTTCGGCAGAGGAACGACCTCCCCAGAAGAATAGGGTGGTCGACGTCGGGCATGACGAAGAAGCACATCCGCGCCTTTACTCTCCCAATCTCTACCATTACATTAGATGCGGTGCCGCAAAAGATGGCCTTGCAGTTGGCGCCATGCAACACGCCATGGTCCGAATGGTCGACCTCCAGCCCGAGCATAGTCGCATCCCGCTGCCGGATGATGTTCATTTCCGCGCCTGTGTCCACCATTGCAATGCTCAACTGGTCCCTCACTTTCAGGTCCACCAACCCACACGCCACACATTTTCAATCCATCCTGGTGCCCGCCTCCATCCACTCTATCTCCCTGGGCAGGATTCAACTCAGGTGGACATTGGGCACTAACCTCCGTGAGAGCCACCCTTTCAGCTCGCCCCGGAGCCTCGATGCTGACGCCAGAATGTCCTTTAAGTTCATCAGATCGTTATGGCCCTCCAGGAGCTTATCCACCATTCGTTCCATGTCAAAGCCTTCCTCCAGCCGGACTGCATACTTCTTCCTTTTTGGCACGCCGTCATGCACACTCGACTCCACGCCTCCCTGAGCCCCTCTCTTCTTAGCCCTCTGTTCCGCCCTCCAGTCCTCCTCCTGCCGGAGCCTCTCGTCCTCTTCGTCATCACCCTCATCTTCCTCTTCTCAAACCTCTACCACTTCCTTTCTTCGTTCGAGCTCAGGGTCCTTTCGAGGGGGCGCCCGACTGGGTGCCTGGCTAGGCCCTTGACCGGTGGTAGCCTTACTTTGGCCCCTAGTCTGCGCGGCCTGTGGTGCCCTTCCACGCGACGTAGGGGGTCTGAAGGTCATCCCTGACCTAGGACCTGCCCCGACCGTCGCCACACTTGGACACCCTTGCGGCCCTGATGGCGATTCCGGACCGAATCCATAGAGCATCATCTCAGGAAGGTTCATTTCCCACTCCCGGGCCTCCCCGCACATCACCCTTAATCGTTTTTGGTATCTTCCCACCTTTGCAAGCAGATCCTCCATCCTCTCCAGGATGGTCGAGGCCGACTCTCTCGTCGCCTCCTGCGCCTCTTCGTTGGACTCAACAACTTTGGGCTCCTCCTTTATGGTCCCCACCTTCAGCTGCTGAGTCACTTCCTCGCTCTCACCTACAATCTCCTCGACTCTTACGCCGGGGTCTTGCCTATCCTGCCATATCCTGAACATTGTCGGGGCTGCTGGAGGCCCTGCCGCTGCCCGCCTGAGGGCTTCTTGCCTAATTCCTCCTAGGGTCTTAGGATCAATGTGCTTTCCCCACTGGTCATATATGTCCCCATCCATACAGGTGGAGATTAATCCTGCCAGCTCATCGTCCCGCCGCTGTTGGCAAAATCGCACGGTGTGGCCCACCTCGCCGCAATGCCAACAAGTCGCATTCCGCCAGTCAAAGCGGGGCCTCCCATACCCCTGGCCTCCTCCCTGGCTGCCTTGGGCACCTTGGTTCTGACCCCCTTGACCATTCCAGCCTCCTCCACGGCCTCCACCATTTCCTCCTCGCCCCCGGCCGCCCCCTCCTCTACCCCCTTGACCCCGGCCCCCATTGCCCTGCCCGCCTTGTCTTTGGCCCCCTCCCTCGGCTACACTAGCTTGCGAGGCCTGCTGGGAGGGCAGCGGTTGGGCCACGGGCTGGCTTTGGGTCGCCGGGTAGCTCGGGGGGCCCATACTTGCGGATGGGTCTGAGCAGGGGACCATGTGTCCCGCGTGGGCCTGACTCCCTCCACATGAGACACAGTGGTTGCAACTGGGCCAGGGTGCGGACTTACAGTGCGGCACCCAGTGCCCGCAAGTTGGTGGCGGCCCCATGTGCGATGGCCCTGCTAGCGCCGGCGCGGCCGCGGCGACAGACGGTAGTGCGGCAATGGCTTGGGGAGCCTGTCCCTTCCCTGACCTTTGCCCTCCCTGCAGCAAGTTGCGCTGCTTCCTCTGCGCCTTAGTCAGGACCTGGGAGCCTGTCTCCCCTCCGCCATAGTCTTCTTGCCCAGCCTCCTCATCTACTGCCCCTGACGCCCGACCTTGGACCACTAGCACCCCTCTCTTCTGTATTTGTGCCTCATTATCATAGTCCAGTGTCGCCAGCACGTCCGTGACTATTCCCTTCACCCCTGGGGTCCCATATGCGGTAGCATCCCTCTCCTTCCTCTCGCGCCTTTGCAATCTCATTTGGTGCTGCTCCACCTGGTCCAAACTCCCTTCTTCCACTCCCTTGTCAATGGTTGCCAAGGAGAGCCTCTCGCTCCCTTCCCCATACTTGGTCAGCTCTGTGGCCTCCGAGCCCGTAAGCAGTCCAAGAAATGTGGCGCACTGCGCCTCCTCAGAAATCCCGTGCACTTTCCTCGCCTTTTTCTTAAATTCCTGCACAAACGCCCCAATGGTGGAGAAATCTTCCTTATTCATGGCCTCCAAGTCGGCCATGGTCAACAGGCTGTCCCCCAGCCTGTACTTCCTTCGCATTAGGTCCCCAAACTTTGCCCAACTGCCACCGGCGGCATCCACAACCTTAGTCACTTCCCGATGGTGGCTATGCAGGACATACCTCAGGACCCGCTGGAGCTTAACCTCATCTGATAGCCCCACTAGTGCCTGCTCTGTCAGATCCAGCCAATCAGATACCCGATCCCCTTTGAAGTGGAATATCTCGACCTTTGGGACGTTGCTCGGCGCCCTCTCACGCTTGTCCAGGGCATCGATAAGGTCATTAAGAGTCACAAGCTTCCTCCCACCGTCCGCCATCTCTTCTGGCATTTTGGCCACCCGCCTTCGACTTCAATCTTCCTGTTATAAGAGACGATGGGACAGAGGACCTCACTCAACGACTCAACCTTTCATGACCCTATCGGGTTAACCACCTTAGACACCCCACACTCTAGACCTAACAAGCATTCCTTCTCCCATTCCCCTTAGGCCCATCTAGATGACGCATATCCTTACCATAGAACTTCCTCGCCCACATACAGCACCCTGCTGTCAACCAAACCGCCAATCAATCAATCATCCAACCCATAGCCACCTAGATCACCTTACATACATCTCATAGTCCTTCTCTTATTCACTCATATGCCTAGTTTCTCGCTTACTCCCATACCCGGATGCCGACAGCCTACAATAATCCCAAGCGCTGCGCCTTCGCGCAACCCCAACAGTCCCATAACTTTTAGACGCCGGGGGCGGCGAGGCGTCGCGAGCAGGGCTCCGATATAAAATTGCGCGGCCGCAGGCCAACCCTATGCCAACCACTGATGCCAATCATATGTGGTAACCGCGGCTTCGGCCTCGCGATATTGAATGGCTAAAGGAACTCATCGCGAGGGGTTACCCCTCACGATATTGAACGGTTGAAGGATACGCCGTTTGGCCCTTGCGACATTTCCGCCCTCCAGGCGGAATGTCCCGCCGGCCAAAATAAATAGGCTCTATGCAAGATGAGACCCCTCCCCTTTTGGGCCTAGGGCTTGGGATGTCCTGGACAAGGACCTCGAATCCCGGCCCAGGACCAACGTCCGACTAAAAAAGCCCCAAGACGCAAATTGGCAGAAGAGGGGGGGGTCTCCCGTGTCCCTCAGTCCCAACCTCCGCGCGGTTACTAGCACGGCCCCCTTGGGCCCCTTGGATACCCATCGCACGGATACTCGCGCATACATGCATAAGGGCATAGAGTTATGACGATCACTCCTCACAGGCACAGTGAGACGCCTCACAACCGTGCATATGTATATGGAATCGCAGGCAGTCCCAATCCAAAATCCAAGCCACAGGACATACCTGCAACCACACAAAGAATCAAACGACAAAACACGCACTACACGGAGTCAACCCCAACCATAATCTACGCTCATACCCCTTCGCTTTAGCCATGCGAGCCCCAATCGCCGATCCAACCAACCTTAATTAAATACTCAGTACCTTTCTCAAATGACCATTCAATAAAAGTCCGGGTAAAACCCTTAACAAATAGTAAAACCACCAGGGCTAAAGCCTTTTAGGTTGAGTATGGGGAATGAGTTGAAATTGAGTCGAAGACCGACGAATCGGCAACCGACCTGTTATCAGTGATAATAGAAGACGATCCTCGTAGGATCAATCCGGAATTAGTCCAAATCCTGAATCAAATCGATCAAGATGGCCTGTAACACAAAACAGGTCAATTCTCAGGCTGAACCTATAAGTCCATGGAGAATAACCCCCATATCACGATCCCACTCAAATCACCTTAAATAACTAAGCCTGAATCTACCTGTAAGCCGTGCCCAAAGCAAAGGTAGACCCCGACATAATCTCCCCTACTCAGGGTGGATTGCCAAAATTGTCACCTGTCAAAATATAATCTAACTCCTCTAAATCAAAAAAATTTCGGCAGCGCTTCCCGTAGGAAAAGTGTCTTTCCAAAGTTTATATCAGCTCAAATATGGAAACAGAAATAACCTTGCCTAACTCCCTGAATTAGTAGAAATTTGGACGGCACTCCCTTTAGAAAGGGAGACTCCCCAGATTTGTACTAAGTCAGATATGAACTCAAAGACAATCTGGGTTCAACTTAGACAAGATTTAGTTAATTCCTTAGTTTTGCAGTAATTTTGGCAGCACTCTCTTTGGAAAAGTGATATTCCAAAATTTATACAAGGCTAAGTTCAAAATCTGGAAATAACTTTGACTTCTCAAAGTCCAATTTTGTCTAACTCCTTGAATTAGCAAAAATTTGGGCAKCATTCCCTTTARAAAAKGAGACTTTCCWAATTTTTWCWAMGCCAGATAYAAAGATTAGACAAGTTGAATTTTGACAAGTCAAAAGTTGACTAACTCCTTGGATTTGTAGAAATTTCGGCAGCGCTTCCCGTAGAGAAAGTGGCTTGCCAAGATTTATACGAAGCCAGGTATAACAAAAGATCCCAGAAAATGCGAGAATTGATCTAAGTAAAAAAAATCAGCTCGGAAAAAGCAGGAATTGACCTAGTTCCTATCGCTCTAGCACGTGGTGAGCCTCTAAAGCAACTACCTGTCAACCTGAAGCCCAGACCAAGTAGTAACCTCACTTAGCCACATGCAGTCCAAACCACAAAGGAAAGTACTCTCACCAACCCCAAGCTCCTTTAGCAAACAATAGTTCATGCTTCCTCTGTGAGTTATCCAATTCATACCCAAGCTTACATAAGGCATAAGCCAGGGCACCTTAACTTAAAGAGCGCACCCAACTTAGCAAGGCCCAAGGTCAGAATACCTACACTTATAGAGCGTTCTGACTTGGCCAGGTATACACAAACAGAGGGCACAACTACTTCTTTCTTCTTTGGGCGTCTGACTAGACCACTCTCGTCATCTTGAACTGTTTAAATAACCAGATTATATATATCTCTCTGAACTTAGTCTTCAAAGGACATAAGGTTGAGCCACTCAACTTAGAACATTGCTCAGCCTGCCGACAATTAGCCTCGATTATATCCCTTAATTATACTCTCTTCTGTTGTGATAAGCTATAGTCAGGCTACCTAAACTTATAGAGCGGCCTGACTAGCCTGTTCTCAATAACATAGTAACATAATATAGCCAAGTTATATCCATTGGGTTCCAACATGTGCGAGGCGTTGGGTCAGACCACCTAAACTTATAGAGCGGTCTGATCCTCTGCCAGATTCGTTTCTCTCTGATCCAATATGTGCGAGGCAGTGGGACAGGCTACCTTAATTTATAGAGCGGCCTGCCCCCTGCCAGAATCATTCCCTCAAAACAAAACAGGAGAAGGGCTGAACCACCTAAACCTATACAGCGGTTCAGACCTCCTCGTTCAGAATCAAAGAAACTTAGAGAACCCCAAACAAAACGAGGCAGCCCAAGGTACCTAAACTTATAGAGCGCCTCGGGTCCCTGAGAACCACTCACAGTCAAATCCCCACAGGTCAGAGCAGTCAGGGCACCTAAACTTATAGAGCGTCCTGACCCTCCACGCAATTTATAGCACCAGGTATCCCCAAACTTATGGGGATATCCCAGCCTCCAGAGCTTCAGGCTACCTAAACTTATAGAGCGGCATGAGGCTCCATGCAAACCAGAAATAACAAAGCGGTGGGCTTCCCCAAACTTAAGGGGACCTCCCAGCCTTAGTGACCCGGTCAATCTGCACATAATACTGCCCTCCTCCCAACCTTCCCCCAGATGCAACCCACCTCGTTCATAATCTGCTTTCAGGCAATCAGTAAAACTGAAGCTGAGATTGCACACACACTCCTTTACTTCAGTCTGACTTAGGTCCTGAAAGTCAAACCAAAATCAGAGTACAGGATCCATGCAATACGCTTAGTCAAACGTAGACCGATGTACAGGTAGGGGTTATAGTTGGGTTTATAGAGGGAGTCAGGGGATTACCACTAAGTTCCCTGCCTCCAGGACTCCGCCTGAGTCCCGGCAGAGCTCCCACAATCGGTGGGGCAACCTCCTACAAAGGTCTTGGCGCGGATTACGGGCCACACGCCCTCTTGCCGCCTTCCTCTCTGGGCCAAGGACCAGACTTTTAGAGTAAGGAGGGCAGGATAAGGGGGGGTAAGACTCTCAGACTTAGGAAGGACACACTCAGACTCATGCGAGAGGGCCTTCAACTCTTCGTACGCCTGRGGGCCCCACAATGGCGGCCGAGGAAAACACCGCAGCTTTATCAAGTGAAGTTAATTGTTGACTGCTAACTCCTCTGACGATCTCTCCAACCGCAGCAAGCGCCCCATACACAGCCCAACCGCCCCCCTTCACCACTTCCTTGCTCTCTATGACRAGTCCGCCGTCTCAMRACCCTAAGCCCCCTGCCCARAACAGCATAGCAGTCCGKGTCAAGCTCATCAATCGGTTATGACAGGAGTAAGACCGCTGCTGGTAGTCGAGCACACGGTGGGCGGGCAAGCAGCAGATGCTGCCCCAGTCAAGGTACACGGTGTCCAACAGTCGCACACACCAGCCCCCTTCTTCTGCCAGCTCAAGTCCTCCTCCGAACCACGACCCAGTCGCGGGGTCCTGTGCCAGTCGGCGGGCAGCGGGCAACCCGTTCGCACCCCTTAGCCGGCAAGGCCGACTGTTCACCAGTCGGCCAACTCAGCTCTCGATTCCGCAGTTCAGTCCCCAGCTCCCCCTGCTCGCCAGGATGGATGCCACGGAGGCCCTCAAACAGGCCGCCTGCCCACGTACTCCTACACTCGTCGCGCAACTGGATCGTTACCCCCCCCCCGACTCGCTTTCGTCCCAATTCGAATCGACAAACTCACCCCTTCACGCAGTCATACCTGATCCCCAACAACTCCGCACGGTGTCCCCTCCTTCTTCCACCAGCAGAACGAACAAAACTCGAACGAATCTTCCACAAAATGTGGGAAGATACATTGTCCATCCGAAATTAGCCCTTCCCGAGCGCGGCCCATGCCTGCTACAACACCAAATTTACATCCCTTCCACGAGGCCCGAGCCCATCATTAAGATCGCAGTGCCCAGAATCCCCTATCGAGAGTCCTTACTCATCACGAACGGTCGGGGACAGCCTGGTGGCCAACTTTTATCTCTTTCGTTTCTTCTTTCGACGCCGTTTCTGACCACCGCGCGATCTTTTTCTCTACCAGCACTGAATATACTATCCTACTACCAAGTCTAACCCCTCCATTGGATTCGCAACCATCGAGAACCCCCAAAACGCATCTTTCCCCGCCCAAAACAGCCAAGAACTGAGCGAGCTCCCTACTCCCTGCTACGCCCAGCCTGGCTCTCCGCCATCTCTTGTCTCCTACGCCTGCATGCACCCGGCTCTACCCCACGCCCCCGTTCATTCACCAACCCACTTCGTCCTTCCACAGCGCTGC